TCAGCCTTCCAAGTAGCCGGAACTACAGGCGTGCACTACCACGCCCAGCCAATTTTTTTTTTACTGTAGAGATGAGGTCTCGCCAAGTTACCCAGGCTGGTCTCAAACCCACAGGCTCAGGCAAGCCACTTACCTCGGCCTCCCAAAGTGCTGAGATTACAGGCTGAGCCACCAAGCCCGCCCATCTCACTCTTTTTTTAAGACAGAGTTTCTTTCTCACCAAGACTGCATTGCAATGGCACAATCCCATCTCACTACAGCCTCAACCTCCTGGACTCAAGTCATCCTCCTGCCTCAACCTCCTGAGTACCTGGGATGATAGGCACCTGCCACCATGCTGGCTAATTTTTTTTTCTTTTCTTTTTTTTTTTTTGTAGATGAGGTCTTACTATGTTGCCCAGGCTCAAATTCCTAGGCTCAAGCAAAGTGCACCTTGGCCTCCCAAAGTGCTAGGATTACAGGCATGTCCCACTGCATCCAGCCAAGATCTCTCTTTTAAGAAATGTAGTAATATATACTTTAGATGGCACAGGGGAAGGTAATTATTTTATTAGCAACATTATTAGGTACCATCTTAATCCCCTAACCAGAGCCTCATCACTATTGGAGTAACTTGAGGCTCCACTTCTGAGTGAGGACAACATGCTCAGAGGGAGGCAATCTAAACCTTCCAACATGATAGAACTCTGCGTTGCTCAGAAGGCAGCTCTGTGGAGGTGCCTGGCTCCTGATTCTGCCAGATTTTACTGAGGCCACTCCAAATGGAGAAGTCAGGGGTCTTGACACCAGGTCCTGGCATAGCTAACATGCAATCCCACTATCTTTGGAATATTTGCCCTTTTAATAATTATGATATTCATTATTGGTTTACTATTCCCCTATAGAAGAGTGTATAAGACTTTATTTTTCTGCCATTAAAAAAAAGTCATTTCATTTAGGGCATAATTCAATGTGCTTACCGTAATCGGTAACAAAAAACTCATACATGGTTTGATTCACGCCTTTAGGTATTTCTGGTAAGTCTAACTTGCTTTCATGATGTCGTAAAAAGGCTTCAAGTTTTTCTCTGCTTTCCAGTTCCAGGAGGGCTCCCAAACTCCACATTAGACCAAAGACAAATAATTTATGAAGATGTTCGACACATGAAATACCACCTTCTTCTTTGGAGGGAATTAAACCTTCTAGAAGATTAAGAGACTGAAAAATTTTTAAATAAAATAGTTTTAGATTTAAATTTTTAAAATAAAAAATTAATAAAATTAAAAGGATCAGGGAAAGAGAAGGAAAAACAAATATATCTCAAGCTTTTGCTTGATCACTGTTCTACAGCATTTAGAAGAAAGGTCACCCTACTTCAGACCGGCCACATGGTCTAGTAGAAAAAACCCTGAATTGGGAATTGGCAAATGTGCTTTCTACCCCCAGTTGATGCCACTGACCTGAGTCTCAGTTTCTTAATGGGAAAGCAAAAGGCCTAGACTAGATGTTTGCTAGGATAGCATCTGGTTTTAAAGTTTGGTTATACAAATTTTCCTGATCAGAGATTCGATTTCTTTTTGACGTTTGGCAGGACTTAGCAAACTGTGGCCCCAAGGGTAAATAAAATTTTATTGGAACACAGCCACACCTACTCATTTAGGCATGGTCTCTAGTGGCTTTTGTGCTACAATAGCAAAGTTGAGTGGCGAAAACAGAGGGTTGTGCAAAGCTTAAAATATTTACTACCTGGCCCTTAAAAAAAATAAGTATGCCAACTCCCTTACAGCATCAGAAAGAAATGTATACTACAGTAAGAAATCCTCAGTCTTTCAAACCGAAATTATTTCAAGATAAAATTTTCTCTTACATTCTGCATTTAAAAATAATTACTAAATAATTCACTGATTTGGGCTTCATATATTATTTCTAACCTACCAGCCCTCAATGTCTGACATCCCTTACACTGAGAATCAAAGCACTAGAATATTGAGGAAGCACCTATAGACCAGAATTAGGAGAGCCCTTAAAAATCTATGACTAGTTCTGGTATTTTTTCCAAACACTGGTAAGGAAAACTGAGAATATTACAAGTCATTTCTCAGAGTGTATGTTTAAAGCTTTTCCCTATCTGATATACACTAAATCTGCAACTAAGATTACCATCCAAGTTTTTCTGATTGCCACAAGCTCCTTTTTGTGTTTTTCTGTAAAACTGTCTGTCTTATTTTGTTGACTGTCATTATAGGACACACTTTCTGGGTCAAGTTACTAAACCTGACAGTGGGAAAAATAGTTCATTCCCCTTTCCCTGACAATAGCCCTCTGGGAAGTGAAAATAATAAAGATAGTAGGATCATTAATAAGATCTTTACTAGGTAGGAGTCAAACTACTCAGAGTTTTTACAGTCACATTATAAGATTTCTAAGGACTGCGTGAATTTTCTATTTCAGATGCCTGTAAACTGCAACTGAGTGAAAAAAATAAATTTCAAACATAAGTAGCAGATGTACAAAAACAATCTTACTTGCATAATATAGTTGCACTCTAAGAGCTGCATTTTGGGATTGAGGTTTAGTTTCATATATGTGTATGTATCTTCAAATGCTTTATCATAGAGAGTCAGGAATACAGTAGCTTCCTGTGCCGTGCGCTTCTTCAACCATGCCTGCCACACAGAAACAGAATCTCTGTTTATTAAGAAAGGGGACTGTGGACAGGTGCTGAGTGTACTCCCGTCCATGCCTCTCCCCCACCTGTAGAATTGGCCTCCAGCTGAGAGCAGAGCTGCTGATATAGACCATGCCCATCCTAGAAACCGTGGCAGGAGAGGCGTTCTCAATGTTGTGGACTTCAAACAAAAGCTTACAGTTAGGGGCCATGGGAATGCGATCTCCATTTGCTAATGTGAGAGTTTTATTGTCATCCAACACAGAGTTTAAGTTCTCAATCCAAATGGCATCCACAGGGCCATCTAAAATGAGGAAAACGTTTTCACCTGCAGATAATTAAAACAGAAAATTAAACAAATATTGTCTTAACCAACTGACAGGGGAAAAATGATCACAAAGGAGGGTGTGTGTGTGTGTGTATACCTTTTTTAGCTTTTAACGTTTTTCTCCACAGAGTAGAAAAAATCCCATCCGTCCAGTCATTGGTAGCAGTATCCAGTCGGCCAAACATCTGAGGTGCAGTGATAGCTTTTGGATTCATTCGCATTTCTCTGTGAGGCCTTCCGCATTCTGTTAGCGCCTTCATCAGAACTGTTATAACAGTGGTCTTTCCAGAACCACTGGGTCCAAGAGTCATCAAGCCATGCCGCACCAGAGACGTCTCATATAACTAGACAATTCAACAAGAAATTTAAAAATGTAATTTGTGAGTCTCTTGCTGACATTTAAGGCAGTTAGCTGAAAGTTAAAAGGCTCTAAATAAGTTCTTCATTACAGTAACTAGTTCACTATTTAAAAGTTGTACAAATGTTCTTTGTTTCACTAGATGTGCATAGCAAATTAGCATCACTAATTTATATTATAAAATGATGTAAGGGATAAAATGATATCAGTGAAAAAGTAATCACAATGTGAAACTTGAATTACATCTTGGAAATAACTAATTCAAGATCTAGTTTCTGTTTCTCACACTGCCATTCCCTGTGATTTTGGTTTGCTGATACTATATAAACCAACATTTGCCACAAACTTTCTCTGCATCCAATGTGATGATATCGCCCCTTAGTGGTGGAAAACGGCAAGACAGAGCGTCCCAGGAAGATTCACATGGGCCTTCTGGTTCCCCAGAAGTACATCTTGAATGAGGGTTCATGGGCAAGTGATTTATTCAAGGAGTGCTTCCAGGAGAAACCAGTAAGGGAGCAGGGAAATAGGGCAGGGATGCGAAGAAGCCAAGCAAGGTGTGGTCAAGGACCAAGTCCTGTAGGGTAGACTTAAGCCTGATGCTGCAGGAGGACTCTGGAGTCTAAGTTACACCTGAGATAGTTCCTCCTGGAAGCAGGGGAGCTTGACTTTCCTACTCTATCACCCATCAGTCCTTCAGTGAGGAAAGGTTGGGTGGGAAATACTCCCAGGCGATGCCCGCTCTTTGTGCCTGCCAGCAAAGGGGCTCCAGGCCTCCTTTTGCTATTAGAAGCAAAAATAGCCGGGCTCGTGGCTCAGCCTTAATCCCGCGTCTTTGGGAGGCTGAGGTGAGTGGATTGCCTGAGCCCGCGGGTTCGAGACCCGCCTGGGCAGCGAGACCTCATTTCTACAATAAATCAAAAAATGAGCCGGGCGGTAGCGCATGCCTGTAGTTACGACTACTCGGAAGGCTGGGACGGAAGGATCGCCGGAGCCCAGCAGGCGAGGCTGCGGTGGCCAGGAGCGGCCACTGCACTCCAGTCTGGGTGACCGAGTGAGACTCCAACTCAAAAAAAAAAAAAAAAAAAAGAAGCAAAAACACACAGAAATTGGGAGGGACACACAAAAGTGGCGGAAGGGATTCAAGGAGACATGCTAAGAGCATGGATGGCATCTGTTCCAACATCCTGTCTAGAGCTTTCTTAATAATAAAAAAAAAAGACATCAAAAGTCTCACGGCTGACCAGAGGTAGAATCTGCGTTATTCCCTTAACAATGTGGACAGAAATGTACTACTATGGTAACCCACAGTTTAAAAGCAGCAGAAGCACTGTTCCATAACAATATGTTCAAGAGTAACATTATTGGCATCAACAAAGACCACAAAATCCTAGTACCCACCACTGAGATGATCAAGATTTGAATACTCAGCATATTGGATACATGTCATGTATAAATGGTTTACCCAGACTTTAAAAAAATATATTTAAAATGGTTTCTGATACACGGATGGTAAAAAAAAAAAAAAAATACTTGAACATTTCCCAATGTGTGTATATCTATGTAAGATTTGGCTACGTCTCTGATACTTGCACATCTTATAATCTGGCAAGAACAGTAGGTTAAAATAAGCATTGTTATTTTTCAAATGCAGTTTTTAACACTCTCCACAATTCAGTTCCTTCATTCTCTAAGGAACATGTCTCTACTACAGGTTCTTGATTCTGCTGATAAAGTGGTTGGGTCACAAGGATGAAATGTGACGGGCAGAAAGACACCAACAGACACAGGCAAAGGATTCATATTTTAGTGTAGGTGGAAGATATCATAAAGCAGGAGCAAAGTAGCACACCCAGATTCCTCAGCCTCTGTGTCCCACTAAAGAACCCAGCTGCAGTCACTACTGCCAGATTGGTGCAAGAAGCCGGTTGGGTTGTTCCACCTCACAAGGTTTTTATCATCTACTATTCCATCCCAGTTGTTCTTGAGATTCTAGTCACTGCCCGACCTTCTCACCAGGTATAAGTAACAACCACAGTAAATTACGGCTTGATTACTATGAGGCAGGTTAAATCCATACTATCTCTCTGGGACAAACACATCCTCCCTAAGGTCTCTTCCTTCAATGATGTATATGTGGTGTTTTTATTTAGTTTTGACATCAGCATCTATTAAATTAATATCACGAGTTATTCTATTCAAACTGTGATCTTTACCATACACTGGTAACAGATTAAAATGTCTTTACCTGCACAAGTTTGAGGTTCCAGGGTGGATGATTAATCAAGCCTTCTATCTGAACCTGGTGGGCTACTGCAGTTTGCAGTTCTGCATAAGTACTACTATCCAGTTGCAAACCTGGAAACAGGTCATTGATTAAGCTGAGGAACAGAGGTTCGTCTTCGTCAACCTAAAGAAGCATGGGTTAAAATAAACTTACTCAGTCAACAAACATTTATCCACTAGCTATGATATTTATCAGCTAGCTAGTGATGCATGCATAGCACTTATCACTTCACGCTCAGAGAATCATTTATTATTCTCCTGAACACCACCACTGAATCCTCATTGTACTCAAAGTTCTTTGGCATTCCACGTCTTCTACAATCCAGTCTCAATCTACAGCTCCAAGGTCTGATCTCATTACTGTATCATATGAATGCTCTGCTGCTTCTCGAAGACTGGTATTTGCATTAACCTTTAAAGTAGCAATTTGTAGTCCCAACCCCATAAGAATAGAGTATTAATATTCTATTTAAATTGGGAAAATACCTACAAACTTATGGGGCATCATCCAACATTGGCTGGAAAACTCTATCAGGGCAATGTTCCGCCTTTCTAATAAGCAGTAGGTTTGGTAAACTGACTCCACTTCTTATTTGCTATGTCTTTAATACATGGATTGCCCCTTTTCAACTTCTAATGCCTTCTGATTTCTCCTTATTCTCTGGGGCTTCTGTATTCTTTCCTGAATACTTATCTATGGCTTTCAAGAATACCATTAGCTAAGGGAGGCAGTAAAGTCTACTGGAGGGAGCAGGGGATTTGGCTTCAGAAGATCTTAAGGATTTCTGTCCCAGCTTCTCAGCTGAAGGTGATTACAGGGGAGTCCTTCAACTTCCAACTCTCAGTTCCCCCATAAGTAAAATGACAAGAAGCAAACTAGCCGTCTATATCCCACAGAGTTGCAGGCTCAAACAAGACAATATACCCAGAAAGCCTGTGCAACAATAACAAATTCTACAGAGGTTCATTGTTAGTTTGTGGCACATAAAAACCCTTGAACAAACTCCATGTGAACCTGCCCGTCAGTTAATTCAAAACAACCTGATTATAACTGTAACAAGCATGAAAGCAGAAAAGCAACTCTTATAATTTCCACAGAATAGTTTTAATGCATTTTTGGAAAACAGGAATGGTGTTGATGTTTTAGGAAAGATATATCGGAGATAAGCTAGTCATATGTAGATAAAGCAAAAAGTTCCCATGTTTTCCTGTGAATCCAGATTGTCTTGTCGAGAATCTGGGTCATATTATGAATAATGGTAGAGATCTAGGTTGAAATTTTAGAGCCGAAGCCCACTGATGACCTGTCTCACTGCCCATGGCTGATAAGAGGTACTTCTGGCCCATGTTGGTCATACAAGGTTATGGGTTGTTTTTTTGTTTGTTTGTTTGTCTGTTTGTATCCTTCTTGTGGAAACACAGCATTAGCTTCACACACCCATTATCCCGCAATTATTAGTGCTCACAGCTCAGCATGAGCTAACCCCCACTTGTTAGCCGAGTAGTAGACAACCAGGTCAAACTTTTGGAAAAGAAATGAATTTGGAGAAGAAAGATACCAATTTAGAAAGGTTCATATCTCTTAGTCCTCTCATGACAATGCTTAATTCACTATCTTCTGGTCTGGCTCTTTTTTGAGATCCAAGTGTCCTCAAAACAGACAGAATATTTCTCAACCCAAAGTCATAATGAACCTAACATGAAAGAAGAGAGAAAAAAGTGATTTAATTGAAAAACTAAACGGAGACCTCTATACAGGTAGATATTCTGGTATTTACATGGGGTGGCTGAACTGTAAAGTCTTATTAGCTCAATTTTCCTGCCTTTCCTTTGACTGAAAAATGGTAATTCCATTGAGAAAACTAAACTGTAGTATACAGTTTCACACCTTAAATTATCTTTTAAGAATAATACAGTCTGATACAGTTTGAGCAACAAACATTGGATTTTAAATGTATAACCAACCAGTTATAGACAATATTATTCCATTTACATAACACTCTTGAAATAAAATTATAGAGATGGAAAAAATGTTAGTGGCTGCAAGGGGCTAGTTGGAAGAGAGGTAGGTGTGGCTATCAAGGAGCAGCATGAGGAAAACTGGAAGTGAAGAAATAGTTCTGTATCTTGATTGTGGTGGTGTTTACATGAATTGATACATAGAACTACACACACACACACACACACACACACACAGGAGTGCATGCATAACTGGTGAAACTCTGTGGATTGTTCCAGTGTCAATTTTATGGTATTGTGATTGTATTATAGTTACAAGATGTCAACATTGGAGGAGGCAGGGTGAAAGATATCCACTTCCCTGTATATGTCTTTGCAACTTCCTATGCATCTACAATTATTTCAAAATAAAAAGGTTTTAAAATACATAACCAATAGGTCAAATTAAGTACAAATATATTTTAGAAAAGAGTTAATGAGATTTTTAAAAAACTCATTAATTAGTATTTATCAATATTGTAAAACAAAAAAAACAAATTCTATAGCTAGGGGAAAAATAGATCATATAGTTACCTGTTTAGTAAGTTGCTCTTCACAGAGTTTGTAAAGAACATAAAACTTTTGAGCCAAGATAATATTTTCAAGAAAACCACAGCTTGCAAGCTTAACTCGCATAATGATCTGAAAAATTATATAGTGAGATTTTTCAACAACTTCAGTAAAAAAACAGGTAGAGGATATAAATTATGCCATGCATTTAAATCCCAGTGCATACCTGTCTATCAGGAACCATCATAGCAACAGTTCTAAATTGGATTTTTAAGTTTTCTGGTAGTTCCTGGCGCCCAGCATATCCAGGGTTCTAAAGGTAAAAACATAGTTAATTTTTAAGTGTTGACATAATCTTCATTTCCTGAATATAAATACATCTCAAACCCCTAGTTCAGATTTTACAGTGCCATTAAAAGCATTTGTTTTTTAATGTTTTCTCAAAAGTGTGTTTTAAACCTTCCATATTTATTAATGTTCACATCATTCCCTTTTATATTTCCATTTCATTGCATTAGTAAAGTTGCACACAATTCTGTGCAGCAAAAATTAAGTATGTGTATCTGTTGGCTTTAAAAAATAGAAAATAAAATGGAAAAAGAGAAAATAAAACTGAGTAACACCTGGATAGTTATGGACTAAAATATGTTACTGATTTTAAAAATTCAGAATTTTTCACTGATCAGTTTCCACTTAGGTATTTTTAAAAATTTCATCTCTTTAATTATTCTTTGCAGTCATAGCTAGAGTTCTTTGGCTGGCAAAAACCCATGGGAACAAGGGAAAATAAAGAAGGGTATATTGGGGGGAAATATTGGAAAAGAGAAAAGGGAGGTGAAAAAGAAACTAAGGTCTCAAGAGTAGCAACAGGTTAAAGACAGGTCAGATCCAAAGGTCCCAAAGGAAAAGTTGGAGGTACCAAGACAAGTGAAGTAAACAGGATTCAGTTATTTTAAGAATGTTAATTCAGAAACCTTCAGCCTCTGCCGGGTGCAGTGGCTCATGCATGTAATCCCAGCACTTTGGAAGGCAGAGGCGAGAGAACTGCCCGAGCCCACAGGTTCGAGACCAGCCTGGGCAACATGGCAAGACCTCGTCCCTATAATAAATTAAAAAATTAGCCAGTTGTGGTGGCATGCATGTGTAGCTCCAGCTACTTGACAGGCTGAAGTGGAATGATCATCTGAGTACACCAGGTTGAGGCTGCGGTGGCCATCAGTGTGCCACTGCACTCCAGCCTGGGTGACAGAGTGAGACACTGACTCAAAAAAAAAAAAAAAGGAGAAGAAGAAGAAAAGAAAAGAAAAAGAAACCTTCAGTCCCTGGACCGGACATTGTCAATAGGCTAGATATCTTGTTAGGTGCTGAAATAGAGACTACTGGATGCCCCTCAATGCTCCCCTTCTCCTTCCTTAGCCACAGAACCCCAGTTGCAAGCTGGGGACATCACCACGGATTAAAACTACATTTCCCAGCCTTCCTTACAGGTGATGTGACTACATCTACCCAGTAAGATACAAAGCAACACACACTGTCTATAAAAAATCCTCAATGTTTGTTTGAAGGGAATTGATTCAATTCAATTCATTGGCTGCAACAAAATAGAGATGATTTCTGCAGCATCTTGATCTTGAAGATGGACTCTGACGGAGTAGACCATAGAAAGATCTTAAGAGAAAAAATGCTCACATGTTAAGCTGCTATTTTGTGTGTGTGTGTCTGTTATTCACAGCTTAATGCAATGTCTAATTTCTATTTCCAATATTATTCTTAATCCAGGGAGAATGTTAAACAGTTAAATTCTTCTAGGCTGTAGTTTTGCATTGAGTAAATTTCTCCATCCCATTTCTTGAGTTATAACAAATCACTTCTGGATTATTATCATTAGTTCTCCCTAACTGCTTTACTGGATGTTTGCTTACAATAAAGCTTATCAGAAACATTCTGATTTTGCTTCCTATAATTTATCTTTTTCCACTGGGACATTTAAAACTCAAGAGTACTTTGCATTATCTTGTAACTTAGAGAATTAACTTTACAGGAAACACATAACAATGTTAAAACTTGTTCAACATTAACTTCCTTTCCCTAATTCATAGCAACTCCTGTTTATTTATGCCTTTTGCTTTCTGTCTTTACAATACTGCATCTCAAAGCTCTGCCCTCAATCACGGAACTGAATTTGTTACAATAACTTAACATAGGACCTTGTTAAATTATTTTGGAATTTAAGTCATTCCTTTTTATTCAGTATCGGAGAAAAACCAGATGTAGAGGTTAGGCAGACAGGTTTTGATGTTAGGGATTCAATAACCTATTTATCTTACTGGCTGTGTGAACTGAGCAGGTTTTTCAGTCTCCCTGAGCCTCAGCTATGGAATGTCCAGCTCAAAGGGCCATCATAGCTAGAAGATAACATAATGTACATGTGAGAGTCATTAGTGTTACTGACCAAATATTTGGGGTTCTTCCTCCTTCCAGTTACATGATAGGACTGAATTTCCCTGCCCCCTTAAAGTCAGGTGCGGTCATGTAACTTGCTTCAGCCAATGACTTATGACTTGGGTTACTTCTAGAAAAAAACTCAAAGAACCAGAGCAAAATTCTTCATGTTCTCCTTTTCTTTTGCTTCAGCAACCAGCAATGATTTAGACAGTAGCTACCTTGTCAGCCTGAGTGCCAGAGTAAGTGACACAGGATGGGGAACCCCCAAAGTTGGGGTCTGGCTCAAAAGGCCAAGTGGGTTCTTGGCTTCATACAGGAAATAATTCAAGAGCCAGCCACTGAAGTAAAGTGAAATCAAGTTTATTAGAAAGAGGAACAGAAATCAGGCTATTCCATGGACAGAGAAGTCTCCATACATTGCTAGGATTTCAGCTGAAAAATAAAAGCAAGTTTATTGAAACGACAGAGAGCAGGTTTCTCCTTAGGCAGAGCTTCCTGGGCTGGTCTAAAAGAAGAACAGCAGTCATACATCACTGGGGTTTTGCTTTATAACTATTTCTCAATTTTATGTTAAACAAGGAGTGGAATATTCATGGGTTTCCTGGGAAAGTGGTAGAGATTTCTAAGAACTAGGGTCCTCCCCAATTTGTTACTATAAATCGGACTCGTCATTGCACTGGAGGGTGTGCCATTTAGCTTGCTAATGTATTATAATTAGTGTATGACAAGGGGCAAGGTCAGTAGCAAACAAATTAATCATCATCTTGGTCCTAGTTGGCTTTAACCAGTTCTTAAATGCATCCTGTTTTTCTTCGTGGGGTCTCAGAAAGAAACTGTCTCAGCTACCTGTCTTGAGAAATCAGCCTTGTTGATTATCCTTGCTGCAGGAAAATAGTCTTGCCAAACTCCTTTCTCATGAGGACATATATAAAGTAGCCCTGGCCTTCCCGTCCTTATCTCAATCAATCCACAGTGGATTAGTGGCATGAGAGAGAAATAAATATTTGTGGTTTTAAGTGACTAAGATTTGGGGATTATTTGTTACTGCTGTACAGCATGAGTTATACTATCTGATACAGTACATAGAACATTTAACATTATACCTTATACATACTAAGTTTTCAATAAACAGAAGCTATTATCATCATTAACATATTAGTATTGTATCTTCTATCTGGACTGTACTTCCTACTCAGAAAAATCACTTAATAAGAGAAAGCAAGCCGGGCTCGGTGGCTCAGCCTGTAATCCCGCACTTTGGGAGGCCGAGGTGAGTGGATTGCCTGAGCCTGTGGGTTCGAGACCCGCCTGGGCAACTTGGCGAGACCTCATCTCTACAATAAATCAAAAAATTAGCCGGCATGGTAGCGCGCGCCTGTAGTTCCAGCTACTTGGGAGGCTGAGGCGGAAGGATTGCCGGACCCCAGCAGGTCGAGGCTGCGGTGGCCGGGAGCGGCCACTGCACTCCAGTCTGGGTGACAGAGTGAGACTCCACCTCAAAAAAAAAAGAGAGAGAAAGCAGCTCATGACTCCTGAATAGTCAGTCATTTACCCACTAATATACGCTTTCTTTTATTTAAGTCTGTAACAATTAAATGAATCAAATTGCATTTAAAACCTATGTTCTTACCATTGTTAAGAAGATTCCAAATTCTGGATTTAAATCAACACAATCACCATCAGAAAATATGAACTGTTTCTTTCTCTCTTTTCTTGCTGTCAAAACAATAAAAATTTGTTGCGCTGCCACTGATAATACAGGCAATTCAATTCTGTTAAACTCATCAAAACAGCCCCAGGAGCCTGACTGTGCAAGACCTGGCATGAAAGACAGTTAATTTGTAAAGTTTTTCTCCATAATATGCAATAATAAATAAAATAATAATTTCTCCAAAGTGTTCTCAAACCATTAGATATTGAAACACAGTTTTCATAAAGTCTCACATCTGTTTATAAAGACATATTTAATTCCAGTGTTAAGGAGAGGTTTAATTATTTGTATATTATCACCAAAACAACACAGATAGTATACTGCCGAAAGAAAGTACAGATATTGGGTGTATTTTGAAGGTAAAACCAATAGTCATTGTTGACAGATTGGATCTGAGCATGAAAAAAAAAGAGGAGTAAAGGATAAGACAAGGTTGTTTTGTTGTTGCTGTTGTGTGTTTTGTTTGTTTTGTCTGGGCACCTAGAAGAATGAAGTGACCATTTAGTGAGATGGAGAATGTTGAGGAATGAGTAGATATAGGGAGGGAGATGGGAAGTTTGGTTTTTGATGTGGTGAATTTGAGCCTATTAGACATTTAAGTGGAGACGACAAGTCATCAGAGTTTCCAGGAGAAGTCCTTGCTAGAGATATATATTTGGGAGTCATCCTATAGATGACATTTAAAGCTTGGGTCTGCATGAGATCAACAAGAGAATGCATGTAGATAGAAAAGAGAAGGACTCCAAGAACTAAGCTCTGAGGCTGAAGTGTCCTCAAACACTTTTTTCTCTTTCTGGAAATCATCTCCTAACTAGCTTTCAGGATTTTCTCAAAATTTTCCATCTGCCTACAGCTACCTCTACTTCTTTTTTTTTTTTTTTTTTGAGTCGGAGTCTCGCTCTGTTGCCCATGCTGGAGTTCAGTGGCACGTTCACGCCACTGTAGCCTCAACCTGCTGGGCTCAGGTGATCCTTCCACCTCAGTCTTCCAAGTAGCTGGAACCACAGACATGTGCCACCGCACCCAGCTAATTTTTTTTTTTTAATTGTAGAGACAAGATCTTGCCATGTTGTTCAGGCTGGTCTCAGGCAATCCTCTTGCCTCTGCCTCCAAAAGTGTTGGGATTACAGACGAGCCACCACGCCTGGCTGCTATGCTTTTTAAAAATCCTTCATTTCTGGAAGGCTGAGGCGGAAGGATCGCTGGAGCCCAGCAGGTCGAGGCTGCGGTGGCCGGGAGTGGCCACTGCACTCCAGTCGGACAACAGAGTGAGACTCCAATTCAAAAAAAAAAAAAATCCTTCATTTCAATGGAAGGGAAATCACACGTGTCATCAATTTGCTATCTTGATCTTATCTCCTCTATAATTTCAGGCAATTAGAAATTGATTCTATTTTCATAATCCAATACACATTCGATGTATACACTATAACACCAGAAGTAGTATGGAACCATATGAAATTGATGATATCTGGCCATTTTGACCTAGAAAAATGCAATATCATATGGATCAATCTATGCTAATGTTGGTTATGTGGGATAAGTATCACTTTAGATTGATATCAGAAAATAATGTTAAAAGGCAGTAGAAATAAATTCACCAAGAATAATTTAACATTGCTTGACACTTGCCTTTGAAAATCCTTCCTAGGCCTCTGAAATCCATTTGATCGGAGCAGTTGAACACAACCACATATTTTCCCAAACACCTTCCCATGTCTTTTGTGGTTTCTGTTTTGCCAGTGCCTGCAGGTCCTGCTGGAGCGCCTCCCATGTTCATTCCCAAAGCCTGCGCTAACGTAATATAGCATCTGCAAGTGTTAATCCAATAAAGCTTTATGAATATGGGAAAACGTGTTACAGTAAGGCACAAGCAAAAATACAATGTGATTGGAATGGGCCTGTTTATTTTAGAGTTTGAATAACCCACATAAAAGAAGTGATCAAACAAGGACGGGGTACTTGACATTCATTAAAAGTAGTACAGTGAATCCAAAGATTTTTGGGGACAAACATCTAAGCCCCTCAGCCTTGACTTAAAACCGTTAGGCCTTTCTCCCATTGTGGTCAGTAGAAGAACCAAATAAACAGTGCTGTGCTGGTGGATGTTTAACAACTGGCTCTCCAGGGAAAAAAGAAATAATCCTGAGTTTCATGTTTGCCAACTTCTGTGGTATAAATCAGGGGACCCCAACCCTGGGGGCAGGTCTGTGGCCTGTTAGGAACCAGGTTGCACAGCAGGAGGTGAGCGGCAGCAACCAAGTGAACCATCATCTGTATTGACAGTCACTCCTCATTGCTCGCATTATTGTGAGCTTCCCCTCCTGTCAGATCAGTGATAGCATTAAATTCTCAGGGGAGCACGAACCCTATTGTGAACTATGCATGGAGGGATCTAGGCTGCATGCTCCTTATGAGAATCTAATGTCTGATGATCTGAGGTGGAACTGAGGCAGTGATGCTAGCATTGGGGAGCAGCTACAAATACAGATTAACATTAGTAATGAAGTTTGACTGCACAGAGACCATAGTAAGTCAATTCTTTGCAGATTCATATCAAAACTCTATCAGTGAGTGGAAAGTGAGTTGATGTATTTCAATTGTACAGCTGCATCTGGTAGCAGGCTTTAAGTCAGAATCCGACACTTATTTTAGTTCATGCATGGCCTGCCCATTATTTTATTTACCACTTCCATCTGCATCTCTTTTCTTATGGTGAGTTGTATAATTATTTTATTGTATATTACAATATAATAATAATAGAAATAAAGTGCACAATAAATGTTATGCACTTGAATCATCCTGAAACCATCCCCTCCCCTCCGATCCATGGAAAAATTGTCTTCCACAAAACAAGTCCCTAGTGACAAAAAGGTTGGGGATTGCTGGTATAAATACTTCCACCATGGTTGATGAAAAGATGCCAATATGACATCACAAAACTGGGACAAAAATACATACAGTTGGCTCTCACAGAGTGGTACACGTCATTCCAGCACACCACTGTAAATAAATTATTTTTCTATGAAACGTTTCACTCATTTAGAGAAGTATAAAGGATAATATAATGAATCTCCTTATAGCCATGAACCAGCTTCTGCTGTATTTGTTTGGGATCTAAGTAAAAGTTAGTAAAGATCTTAGTAAAGCTTCATGAGACATGAAGCTTCCTATGTAAACACCAATGGAAGAGAAAACACACTGACATTTATGCTGCAGTGGCATTAGGGATGCAAAAGAGAGAAGCTGGATAAATCAAGAGGGGGTGGGAGATATAATTTGTCATAATTTTACTGGAGGCAGCCTACTTAAAGTAATGTCAGAACTATAATCTGACTTAATTCTACAGACTTATTTTATGCACAGCATATTTGAACTGGGATATATAAAGCTAAAACAGACCCAGTTCTTGCCTAGTATAATACATTGGAAAGAACTGTGAGGGCATCTGCCATGGACTAATTATTCAGACTTGGCCAAGAAACTTCACTTGAGGTATTAAGTTCCACATCTGAAAAACCAAAAGAATAAATTAGATGATCTCCAAGGCACCTGTCTTCTTCACAATTTTAATGACTTCCTTTATGGTTCTAGGAATATTTTTCCATCTTGTAATCTAAAATTCATTATTAAGTCACTCATAATCAGCACTGAAGCCTGTTTTTATTATATGATCTTTTCCTACTTCATAAAAATTTAATGTACATGTGTTTAAGAAACATCTATGGTTATTTCATTGTTAAGTTGACTTTCTATGAGCTAGCCTGTACTCAACATGACAGCAATATGCTTTTGTTAATAATTCAAATGCAATTTTTAAACAATTTAAGCACATGATTTAATTATAACATGGAATGACAAAAACTGGGTTTCCTACCTATCTGTTAATGGAGTGATAACAAGGCGATCAGTGCATCCCAGAAATTCATTCTGGTAAATAAAATCAACATCTGTAATAGACACCACAGTTTGATCCAAATCTTCCTTAAAATAAAATCTACTCTGTTTTAGCCATTCAAAATCAGTAGCTGATTTGATATGCATTTTTACCTTAAAAACATGAAATAGAAAAAAATTACATACTGAATTGCAATAGCATAAAACATAAGCATATGGGCAGTTTTTATTCACTCATTCATGAACTGATTCTCCTTCACTTAACAAATATTTAGTGAATTCCTTCTTGTGCTTGACACTGTGCTGGATGAAAGACAAACATGAATCCAGCCTTCTGGAGCTTAAGAAAAGGGTAAAAGACAGTGAAACAAGAAATTGTAACAAGTATTCAGAGCTCTACCAAAGAAATTCAAGATTCATGAATATATATAGTAGTAGAACCTAACCTAGTTCAAGGGTCTGAGAGCGGCACACAGAAACACACACACACACACACACACAAACACAAACACACACACACACACACACACAAGCACACACACAAACTAAAGCCTGAATAAATAGTAGGAATGGATTAGCCAGGATAATAAAACAAAAGGAGTAATGAGGGTGTGGGAGAAGAAAGTGCTCTAGGCAAAGGCCCAGAAGATCTGGTTAGCATGTTTAAGGAACTGAAAAAAAGTTCAGCATAGCTAAGGCATCTGGGATTTAGAGAAAGAATAAGAGTTGAGGCTTCTTAGGGCCATGAGAAAGGGCTTGGGAACTGGCAATTGGAAGCCACTGAAGGAATTAAGCAGTAGAATGCATACTTAGGTGTGCACCTGCATCTTCCTGAACCAGCACTATAGCCAAAGCCACCCAACCTACCTGATCATGAGCATATATATACACATGGGGCAAGGACTGGACTCCCATTGCCATGGCTGCAAGCTCCAGTACATGGTCCATTAGAAGCAGCAGAGACCAGGCAAGCACTTTTAGGAACTCCATCCCACCACAACCACATTCTGAGGAGCTTCATGACTTTCCACAGTAAACTTGAAGAAACCCCACTCCTGCCCACTCGGGGGAATTAACATAGGAAAGTGGCAGATAGTACCCACCACTGCTTTTAAACCCAGTAAGCCCACTTCCAGGTCATTCAGCTAAACACTAAAAAATTGATCTGGGTGACTATACAATATTCAGATCTCCATCTGACCAGACTTCCATACTCCTTGTTATTTATGTCTTGCTTTTTGTTACTGTTTGCTTCATTGTTTAAGAGCTTGCTTCCCTCTCCAGTTAAGGATTCTCACTCCTCACCTAAAGCACAGTTTGTGTTCATCATCTCAAAAGAGTTACTTTCAGGTAACATCGTCCAGTCCCATCCCCAAGGACTCTGCTCTCTAACACACAACCCACAACCATGGAGATAGCTTGCTACTTTCAAAGTCTGTTTAGATGGTAAGGAGGAGGTGGAGAAGAAATAAGAGAAGAAGGGTTAACATACTTGAGTTCTTGCTGTGTATAAGGCTGTGCTAAACATTATACATGGAAAAATAAAATGCATATATGCTGGTCGTGAGATCTCATTTAGTTGGGATGCAAACTGTTCAATGGTGATTAAGACAAAACAAACCAAAAAAAGGTTCATAGTTTTCACTGTGTACAGGTTTTTAAAAATCCATTCTGTATGAAAAGTAAAGCTTGCTCAACACTTAATTTTCCAAGAAATGTCTTCCATGGGACTTCAGTTTTAGGAGTCAGTGAAAGATGTATAGACAACATTCTCAATGGCATATTCTTAGAGCAGACACAGTAATGAATTCCATAATAGTGTTTCTTGAAGTGGACTTCAACGAAAGTCACGTCAATGAAAGTATAATGGTAATTGCAATTATTAAAAGCAAGTCTGTAGGTCAAAACAATATGTCTAAGTATGAAGCTTTCTGATGATTAGTTTAGTCCAGAGATAAATCCTAGAGCAGTTTAGTTTATCCTCAAAATTTAATATGCATATAAATTATCTGGAAATGTTGTTAAAATGCAGATTGATTCAGTAGATCTGGAAGTGTGGAAAGGAAGGCTAGAGATTCTGCTTGTCTAACAAATTCCCAGGTGATGCCAATGCACTGGTCAAGCATATTGTACTTTAGAAGCGAGGCTCTAGAATAAATGGACTGACCGCATGTCCTTCAAATAATCTTCAAGAAATATAACCTATGTGATCAGAACTTTTGATAAAAGATTGAAACAGGCAGTCTGTGATCATATTCTCTAAAATAGGGCTGAACCTGCATAAATTATGTGTCTGACAAAGGAAAGTGATACCTTCAAGATGTGTCAAATCAGTTGAATAAAGCAATGGTAGTTAAAGATTGTCAAATGGTGGATCAAAACCACCTGGAACCCCTATCCCATAGTAGAGAATCCCTGCTTTAGAAGAACTTGGCCTTGCTCTAGGCCACTGGTTAGAGTCCTATTTCCAGTGGGAATTCAACCACCACCTCTCTTACTCCTGCCCTATAGAACCTTGCCTAATCAAGCCCATGATATTCTGTGGGACATGTTTTTTTTTTTTAGTTGGAGTCTCACTGTCGCCCAGGCTGGAGTGAAGTGGCACACTCACAGCCACCTCAGCATCGACCTGCTGGGCCCAGGTGATCCTTCCACCTCAGCCTTCCACGTAGCTGGAACTACAAGAACGTGCTACCACACCTGGATAATTTTTTTATTTATTGTAGAGACAAGGTCTTACCATGTTGCCCAGGCTGGTCTCAAACTCACGGGCTCAGGCAATCCTCCCACCTCGGCCTCCCAAAGAGCTGGGATTACAGGCTTGAGCCACTGCACCCGGCCTGTTGGACATTATTAATTGGACAAACACCCATGAGAGTTCTCTGAAGCTTGATTTAGCCCAGTCTGGGCTTCTCTTTCCCCAGCTAGCCCATCATAGCTCATGACCTAAATTATACCATGTCCCTAGTTTCTTGATTTAATGGAATATTTAGTTGGTTCCTACTGAGATAGAAATTAAGCAAGACTAGTTTCCTAAAATAAACAACATAGCTACTTTTTCAGGACAGGTAGCTGAGATGGGTTCTCTAGACAGGTAAATGGCCTGGTTTTCTGAGCTCCTACAGAGAAAACAGTTAAGAACCAGTTAAAGCCAGCTAGAACTAAGACAGTAATTAATTTGCCCATTACGGACCTTGCTCCTCATAATATACTTATCATATATTAGCATGCTAAATGACACACCCTTCAACACCATGACAGTTCCCATACAGCCCATTTACAGTAACAAACTGGGAGGAATCCCAGTTCCTAAAACTCTCTACCTCTTTCCCAGGAAACCCATGAATAATCCACCCCTTGTTTAGCATATAATCAAGAAATAACCATGAAAACAAAACCCCAGCAAATGCACTGAAAGACTCTCTAGAAAAAAAATTCACTGAAGGCAAATGCAGCCTCTCACAACAACGCTAGCTGGCACACTGATGTTGATGGGTTCTAGAACATTTAACTACCCCTACTATAAAGGGGCCCACCCTCCAAAAAATAATTCCGAGTTGGTTTTTTTTTTTTATTCCTCCTCATACAGTGTGTCCTTTCTGTTCCTCTTTTCTTTTAATAAACTTATCTTCACTTTATTTTTGTGGTTCAGTCTTGAATTCTTTCCTGCAAGAAGCCAAGAACCCACTTGGCATCTCAGGCTGGACCCCAACTTTGGAGTCCCCCATTCTGTGTCAAGATCACATCAATTGGTTCCAGATTTGTCAGTGCCAAATGAATATACGTATACGGTTGCTTAAACCACCCAATACAGATATTTGTGAATATGGTATAGATGGAGACAGTTACGAAAAAGTACCAAGGAGATAGAAAGTTCCTGTAAGTTAGGCAATATGTACAATTCTTAGCTGTTCATTATTAATTAGTACACTAAATTACTTTAAATTAAGAAAGAAAGATACGTTACCAAGTCATCAAAAATATCTCTCTGATGCACATGGATGGTAATTAGAGTTTCAAACTTCACTCTATCAAACTTGCTTAGATCATGTGTTGTCTGACTAATAAGAGTATTTAGAATATCCAAAAATTTCTGGTTGGTTATTTGCATGATTTTCCTGTCATCTTTTGCATTATGTAAAGCCTCTTCTGAATCATGCGTCCACAACATCTGAAGTCCCAGAAGCCCAACCTACAAATCCAGCAGACAAATATTTAAATTTGCCAAATATTTAAAGCACATCTGCAATAAAATTTGGTGGTCACTTATTCCCAGGAAGGTGAAAGGGTTTACTTATTTAAGAAAAAAAGAGAGACAGACATGCATTTCTCTGCTCCTGATGGGAGAGATATTTAAAGTTTTAACTATTGACATTTAATTATTTCAAAGTATAGAAAATAATTAAAATAGCAGCTATTATTTATTGAATTACATACATGATATGGCAGGTGCTTAAGAAATTTTTCTACGGAGGGCCTGAGACCACTAGATACCTCCACGCAATGGTTTTTCTTTCTCAAGAAAAGCAAATGGAATTAATGAACTGTTTATTGTATATTTATTCTTGAGCAGGGTTTTCTGAAGGTCTCTTTGCTCTTCTAAAAACAATATGCTGCCTATCTCCTTTCTTAATCTCTTACTCTTTCTAATACCCACATTTTAATCTACATTTATTTTCTGTCTTTATATTTATCTATAGAAGAGAAAGACTGAAAGTAAGAAGGGAAGCAGCATGTATCCTATGTACCCTAATGAAGGCATAAAGAAATTAGGAGAGGATATCACCTTAGGGCTACAATTTCTACCCCAGAAAAGGTAATAAAAGTAGCCTGAACATGCCACACCATCACCTCCTCGCTGAAACAGTTGTCCGTTGGGGAGCTCTTGTTCATCTGCAGAGACAAGTGACAGATCCAACATCATTTGGACCAAAAAAGAGGACTGAGAGTGGTGTGGACAGTCTGAATACTGTTTGGCATGGGCTCCTCAGTAGGAAAAGCAAGAATAAAGCCTGCTCCCTGTCCTTGGCTTATCAAGGACTTGAATATTTTTCCTGCCAGAGCAGTGGCCAATCCTGAGGTCTGCAAGTAAAGATAACTGAAAGCACCTGACTGAAGTGAACAATGGGATCTAGAGAAAATAAGTCAGTGTCAAGAAGCCCCCAAGAGCAAGCAGATTTGGCCCTGACAGCAGCAGAAGAAAGTACAAGAGGGGTAAGGCAGGGAGGAAAAAAAACAACAACAGTGTAGCAATGTAAAAAAGCTTACTTTCACTTTACTTTGGTGGCTCACTGTTGAATTCTTTCTTGCGCAAAGCCAAGAACCCAGGGTCCCTCAGGCTGGACCTCAACTTTGGAGTTCCTGTCTGCTGGTCTATTTTAAAGACATTACACAGAAAACCCACTGTATAATGGTGTATACCCATTATGGTGTATAATGGTGAATTTTTTTTTTTTTTTAGTCTCACTCTGTCGCCCAGACTGAAGTGCAGTGGCCACTCCCGGCCACCGCAGCCTCCACCTGCTGGGCTCCGGCGATCTTCCACCTCAGCCTTCCGAGTAGCGGGAATTATAGGCATGCACTACTATGCCCGGCTGATTTTTTTATTTATTGTAGAGATGAGGTCTTGCTGCCCAGGGGAGTCTCGAACCCACGGGCTCAGGCAATCCACTCACCTCAGCCTTCCAAAGGCGCGGGATTACAGGCTGAGCCACTGAGCCCGGCAATGGTGAATTTTTAAAATGATAGTCCTGGAGTCACCAAGAACAGCTTAAATTATGTTTTTATATCTTATATTCAGTCTAAGACAGCAAGAGACTTAACGGTGAAAACTGGAGCATGGTATGTTAAAAAATAAATAAAAATAATGCTCATTCTTTGATTCCTATAATATGCACATTAAGAAATATCGGCGGGGTGTGTTGGCTCAAGCCTGTAAACCCAGCACTTTGGGAGGATGAGGCAAGAGGACTGCCTGAGCCTGCGGGTTCGAGATCAGCTTGGGCAACATGGTGAAACCTTGTCTCTACAATATATCAAAAAATTAGCTGGGTATGGTAGCGCATGCCTGTTCTGGCTATGGAAGGCTGATGTGGAAGGATCACCTGAGTCCAGCAGGTGGACGTTGGGGTGGCTCTGAGTGTGCCACTGCACTCCAGCCTGGGCGACAGAGTGAGAATCTGACTCAAAAAAAAAAAAAAAAAATCAGAAAGCACTGTCTGTTTTCACTTATATGTAAAAGCTTTAAAAAGCTGATATCATAGAAGTAAAAGTAGAACAGAGGATACTAGAGGCTGGGAAGGGTAGATAGAAAGGAGGGATAGGGAGAGATTTGTTAAAGGATACAAAATTACAACTAGATAAGAGAAATACTTCTAATGTTCTAGACCACTGTAGGATGACTATAGTTAGCAATAATAGATAGTTTCAAATAGCTAGAAGGAGGATATTAAATGTTCCCAACACAAAGAACTAATACATGTTTGAGATTATGAATATGCTAATTACCCTCATCTGATCACTACAGATCACTACGTATGCCACAAATATGTACAATTATCTTATGCCAATGTAAAAAAGAAGAAAGGGAAAAAAAGCAATAAATAAGTAAATAAATAAAACACTAAAAGGAAATACACTAAAATTTAACAGTTGTCATTTCTGGGTGGTAGAAATGTGGGAAAATTTTATATTACTTTCATGTTTTTCAAATTTTTCCAAATTTTAGCAGCAATGATTCATTGCATTCATAATCTTTGAAACATATTTTAGAAAAAAGAAGAGGTGAAATTTTAAACAATTTTAGATAAGCACTTTAACTTGATAATGGGAAAATTTCAGTTATTTGAAAAAAACTGCTTTATAAATTTTATGTGTGTGTGTGTGTATATATATATATATATATATATATTTTTGTTTTTGAGTTGGAGTTTCACTCCGTCGCCCAGACTGGAGTGCAGTGGCCGCTCCTGGCCACCGCAGCCTCAACATGCTGGGCTCCGGCGATCCTTCCACCTCAGCCTTCCGAGTAGCCGGAATTACAGGTGCGCGCTACCACGCCCGGCTGATTTTTTATTTATTCTAGAGATGACGTCTCGCCAAGTTGCCCAGGCGGGTCTCGAACCCGCGGGCTCAGGCAATCCATATAAATATATATATATGTATGTATTTTAAAGAAAATCCTGAAAGCTAGTCAACTTTATGTCATGCTCAACTTCATCACTGTTCTGAATTTGCTCCCAACTCTCCACCTAATGCTAAATCTTTAGTCTAAATTAGACTGAGCCTCCTTTAATACATTATGCCAATTTTCAAACACATGAAGGGAAAATAAAAAGGCAAGGCGGGATTTCATTTCAGGAAAATGTATGCTCATATCTATATCTGTATCACATATATGTATTGGTGTAGTATATGTATATATACAGACAGTCCCTTAGTCAAGATGGTACAACTTATTATTTTTTTTACCTTGCAATGTACGAAAATGATATACCTTCAGTAGAAATTGTACTTCAAGTACCCATATAACCATTCTGTTTTTCACTTTCAGTACAGTATTCAATAAATTATATGACAGTCAATACTTTACTATAAAATAGGCGTTGTATTAGATGATTTTGCCCAACTGTAGGCTAAGTGCTTTGAGCATGTTTAAGGTAGGCTAAGCTAAGCTATAATGTTTAGTAGGTGTATTAAATGCATTTTCAGTTTACCAGATTTTCAACTTATGATGGATTTATTGGGAAATAACCCCATCATAAGTTAAGGAGCATCTTTATGCAAATATATATACTGTACATATACACAGACATACAAATATATCTGCAAAATAAAAATTCCATACGTATTGTTAGTCTTATATATATCTTTAACTATGGGAAACAGTGGCATATCCTCTTCTGGAGAATGGGGTGGGTTGTTATAGAATAATGTAGGTTGACAAGCCAGTGGCTGGGAGCTAAGGTCAAAATGAGAGGGGGTAGACCTCTGTAATTCAAAGCCACAACAGCCTCATACTGTCAGGCCAACCAACTACTAAGCATCTCCTCCCCTTATTTCCATTTCTTTTAACCATTATTTAAACATTGTGTGTTCTCACCTGTGCTGGAAAGTGGTTGAGGAAAGGTAAGAGTTGAAATCCTGAATCACTGATCTGATAGAACGCGGATCTAATTATATTATGTAATGATGACATCTGCATTTTTAACAATTCCAGAAGCCAAATCTCTACAGGACCTTTGGCCATAACAGAATTATCCAACTAAAAAAAAATTATAAATATGTTATGAATTGATAATAAGTTGGTATTTTTACAAATGTAAAAATTTACACTTAATAAATCATAGTATCTCAATGCCAAGCAAATAGTTTCATATTTTATACATATATATTTAAATATACAGAACCTCCTCCCCTTTTTTGTCTGTAAGGGAATTATATTCTCCTCAACCTAAGTTTTTAAATAGATTCTAATAAAATTTTAGCCAAGGTAAATTACAATGATTTTTTCTCCTTCTCTTGATATGACGGCCAGCATACGATCATAGTCTTTTGCATGAAATGTCACCTCATTGATGTTGTCAGATACAGCAGGGAGATGTGGCTGTAAGAAGTACAAGACAGAGCAAAAACATCACACATGAGGCTAAACACAAAAGCAGTTAAGATGTTTTTAAAACCTCAATTGTTTTTTTATCTTTTTAAAAGAGTAAGAATTTATTTCATTATCAAAAAAAAAAAAAAATACAGACCCTCCACTTTGACCCTTGACTGACTTGGAGGCCCACTTTTTAAAATCCAGCCCTATAGAATGTTTTCTCCAAGTCCTGCAAATTCCCCCTCTCATCCTATGGAGACTGGACTAATGACTGTGACCCTCCTCCAGCTGGAGACGGCGATACTGCCCCAGCCCTTTTCCCTCCCAGATCCAGCTCAGTCCTGTCCTCTCTCCTGTCCCCTCTACCTTGGACTTTTACAGCACCTTTCCCTCCTCTTTTCTTATCCCCATGACTCCCCAGAAACCAACAAGGAAGATAATATTAGCCATTTCCCAGATCCCTAAACCAGAAACAGCCCTCAGCTGGGTGCCTGAGTGCCTCCCTTGCCCAGTTCTCCACAGTTTTTCTCTTCCTCTTGGAAGTACTGCTCTCGAAAATGACTAAAAGCATTTGAGAAGCATGCTGGGGGAGGTGTGGGGGGGGGAGGACAAATCTCAACCACCACCCCATTTGATCCAAGAATGTTCAGAGTAAAATACAGAAAATGATGACTTACACTTAATGAATGCATATTGTATGCTAGAGACTTTGCTACGCATTATTTCATGTAATGTTCATGACAATCCTGTGGAGGGGGAACCATTAATATCCCAATGAAACAGATAGAAAACTGAGACATAGAAAATTAAGGAGTCTGCCAAGGTCATACAGTTAGAGAGTGGCACAATTGCTGCCTCTTGCTCACGAACAACACTGGATTGCATCAGGTTGATAGGCTCCAAAAACACAGAAAATAGGACATTTTATAATCAACCATCATTATTAATCCTCTCCTTTCCTGCCTGTACTTTTAAGATGTTAACTTCACTTTTATCTTGACTACATATGCTGTGGAAAAAGCAATTTAGGTCACAGATACTTAGAACATACCTGTATGGTGTGGGAATCACTGGCTTGTCCGAGAATTTCCAGGAGAACCGGATCAGATACAAAGAAGAATCTTGGAAATAGTAATCGCTTCTTCTCCAAATACCTTCAAATAAAATCAACAGTGCATTGCCAAGTGATTTTTTTTTTTCTGGAGTTTTTTGGTTGTTTGTTTCATTTTGTTTTGCCAATTATTAGCATCTTCACTAAGATAATTGCAAACACCTGTGGTCATTTATCATTTGCCTCTGCAATGTCTAGTGAGAAACCAAAGTCCATTCTCCACCATGGATGGCACTTGGGAAAGCAAGAAAGAGACTAAGAGTAAGGCCGCCCCATCATCTATTGCTTTCTCCTTTATCATCGGGAGCCCTTCTACGACCTAAGAGTATTGGGAGCACTGTGGCTTTAACCGAGGGCAAACACATAACCTATTTCCAAACCAGGACATTTTGAGAGTGAAAGGAAGGACAAGTAACCATTAAGCCAGAACAGAGGCATAAACTTCAACACACCAGGATATCTCATCATACTATTTCAAAAAGAAAATGAGAATAAACTGCTTTTTAAAAAAGTATCCATGAATTTGTCTAGTAATTGTTCTCTTAGTGCACATTTCTACTCCATGCCTGTAGTGATTTGAATGGTAGTTTCCACAAAAAATATGTCTATGTTCTCTTCCTGGTGAATGTGACCTTATTTGGAAAAAGGGTCTTGCAGCTGTAATGAAGTGAAGGATCTTGAGAAGATATCATTTTAGATTATCTAGATGAGCCTTGAATTCAATGTGTAAGAGACAAAAAGAAAAAAGAGAAAAAGGTCAGGTGAAGACACAGAGATTGGGTTATGTAACCACAAGCCAAGGAACTCTTAACAGCCACCAAAAGCCGGAAGAAGCAAGGAAGGATTCTCCCTTAAGCCTCCAGAGGGAGCTGACACCTTGATTTCAGACTTCTTGCCTCCAGAACAGTGAGAGAATCAATTTCTGTTGTTGTTTTTTTTTAAAGAGACAGAGTCTTGCTCTGTTGCCCAGGCTATAGTGCAGTAGTACAATCACAGCTCACTGAACTCCTGGGCTTAAGTGACCCTTCTGCCTCAGGCTCTTGAGTAGTTGGTACTACAGGCACACACGATGCACCCAGCTAATTATTTTATTTTTTGTAGACATTGGGTCTCGCTTTGCTGCCCAGGCTGGTTTTAAACTCCTGGCCTCAAGCAATCCTCTTGCCTCAGGCTCCCAAAGGGCTGGGATTATAAGAGTAAGCTACCATGCCCAGAAAGTTCTGTTGCTTTAAGCTACCTAGTTTGTGGCAATTTGTTACAGCAGCCCAGGAAACTAGCACAATGTCTTATCTCACCCACTCCCAAGTCAAAGGTGCCTTTATGTGAAATTTTAAATTCCTATTCCCACTTCAGCCATCACTACCAAACTAGAAATGCAATCTACTTGTTTGGGATAAAACACTATCACATATAAAATGATACGTGATGTAAATATTAAACTCTTACCCTGTAAGTGACTTCTGACATACTTCCAACTGTTCGTGTAAATGAGGTAAAAGTTGCCCCATGGTTTCGTCTCCAACACAGCAACTAATCACATTGGGATTCTCGTGAGCTCGCTGCATTATTTTTATCCATGACTTGTCTATATTCTGAAAACGTTTTGCTTCCTGAAAACAAATCCACAGTCAGTAAAGATTAGCATTTGGGTAATTGAAAAAAGCAAAATCTTCACCTTGGAATTTTCTGTAGCTCTTCAAACCAGCCTCTGTTAGTCTCAAGCTGCATAATTTAAACAGACATTTTTTTTTCCAGCCAAATTAATTCTGAACAACAAAAATTCAAAGTTATAAAACTACTTATTAAAATACTGCTTTATCACAATGGGGTTTATTGCTTATTTGTTTCATTGCACTTAATATGTTTTTCAAAGTACCACATGATTAATTTGCAGAGCTATCAACCTAAAGTTCAAATCTAGTGTTTCAGCACCCCAGGTGTTTTAGTTTGATGAGCAAACTGAAGAAGCATGAAAATAATTTGATCTCAGGATCCTTGGAATAATTACAGTTCAACAGTACCCCAGGAAAAAAAAAAAACATAAAAACACAAAACAAAACTTTATTTGCATTTTTGCAAATGAAAATTTTTTATCTCCTATGAATGATATTAAGCTTTGCACTCAATTGCAAAAATGCCTCCAGAAACTACCATAATCTTGCCTCTTTTAAAAATGTATCTTTCTGATTTAAAAAAATATATATATTAGTTTAATGTTTTAAAAATGTGTTACAAAAGGAAATTAGCCATTTCAAATCCTTTTAGCCCTGATTTAATGTATATAGATCCTTTTTGTAGACACAGAAATTTGGGAAGAGCAGGCTTGATTTTATGAGGAAAGTTATCTTCGTAGACTACAACTATCAGTTGGTTATTGGCATTTACTTAAAAGGCCCCAGTAGAACTGTTTTAAAGGTTTTGTTACAGCCTTCTAAGACTAAACTCCCTTGCTCCATAGAATGTTTCTGACCTGCTTGTAGTAGACTTACTAATAGTTAATGTATGCTTACCAAATACAGATTAATTTTAATGCTACTCTAGAGGAATACTATAATGCTCTTGGAAAAGGTGAACCACTATAATTTAATATTGCTGTATTTGAATGTACTGTACACCCTCAAACAACCTCAAGATTATTCACTGTTTGAAAATATATAAAATTTTTTAAAAAGAAAATAAACTATGCAAGTTTCTTCTTTCTGCTAAGGTAAATCAGAAGTCAGTGCTTTTTTAAAAAAAACGTTTTCTGTGAAATGCCAAATAGTGAAGATTTTACACCTTGGACAGACGGTTTCACTCAACTCTGCTGCTGGAGTGCTAAAGCAGTCATAGACAATATATAAATGAGTGGATATGTCTGTGTCTCAATAAAACTTTATTTATAGAAACAGGTGAGAGGGCCATAGTTTGCCAACCCCTGGTATAGTCAAGCCTTGACTATATGCCTTTGTGAAGACTTTTACAGAGCTGTATAGACAACACACCAAAGTATTTTATCAGTAAATTACAGAAAGCATATTTACCTGAGGCAGCTGTTTGGCAATATCTCCACCTACAAACACAGCTTCAAGATAAACCCAAAGATTTTGTACTACAAGCCATTCTTCAATTATATCTGAGGAAGTGGATAACTTATATACCCAATTCTGGATATTTTTTTTAAATGGAGTATTATATCTAAAAGTAAGAATGGAAAATATCACATTTCAAGGAAGGTTTAGAAAATAGTATTGCCTAACAAAGTAAATCACAAGAGAAATAATCCTTTGGGAGTGAACATCTTGTCTTAAATAGGCATTCCCTAATAAATATTATACAGCTAATAAACTTTTTGCTTTTTATGAATAAAACTCCTATTATTATAGAGGTTTTAATTATTGTTCCCATGTGTCCGTCACAGAATAGGAAAATGGGCCAAGTTTTACGGCACAGAGGTCCAGCCAAGGAATTGTGCTGGTTGCTTCTGGGAGTAAGGGGGAAACAAGGAGTAAGATGGTTTTCTAAGACTTCTGTGAACCAAATTCAAGTGGGGACTGCCTGTGGGAGTAACACATAAGACACTGTCTGTCATGCCAAAAGGAAAAATACAAACAGCCTCACTCAAAAGTGGGCAAAAGACATGAATAGACACTTCTCAAAAGAAGATACACGGGCAGCCAACAGACACATGAAAAAGTGCTCAGCCTCACTCATCATCAAAGAAATGCACATCAAAGCCACACTGAGATACCACCTAACCCCAGGAACCAATGGCCATCATTAATAAAACAACAACAGATGCTGGCGAGGATGTGGAGAAAAAGGAACACTTCTACACTGCTGGTGGGAATGCAAACTAGTGCAACCTCTTTGGAAGGCATTGTGGCAATTTCTGAAATGCAAAAAAAAAAAAAAAAAAAGACACTGTTTGTTACTGGTGTGGGAAATTACTGAATCTAGAGTAAGAGACCACTGTCTAGAGATTTTCTTCTTATGAATAGCCTTGAAGGCTTCATCCAACAAGAAACAGACTATCTCTAAAGGCAGGACAAGTCAGAACCCTAAAGATCAGGAGAAGGTTAGTTATTACCAGGTTTACCCAGAGAAAGATTACTAAAAAGCTTCAGTTCTGATGAAAACTTACAGCTATACTCGTCCCACCCACAGATAACACAATCCACCAGGCACTGCAACTAGATTTTGTAGTTTCTAGTCCCAGGAGAACTACCCAGAATGGCATGGCTTAAGTGTTTATGAGAATACAAGGAATCCAGAAAGCTGAACACAACAAAGACAGGAAACAGAGTGAATGCCATCAAAGAAGCTACGGGTAAAGATCCCAATTCCCTACAGTTAGAGCAGGAAGCTGACTTCAGTTTGTAGCAATGGCAAGTAGTTTTGATGTGATGTGGTGGCATTTGCTTGTTGACTAGACTCTTCACACTTTTCTTGATCCAGGAGAGAATGACTTAAGGTGCTCACATGTAGAGTGGGCTTTTCTAGGTGTGGTCTGATGCCTGAGTGCAACCCATAACTTCTCTGGAAGCCCATGTTATACATGGAGTTGTAAATGGAGTTGTCCAAAACTTGCTTCATGGAGGTAGGTAATCCAGTTGTACAGGCAGTAAAAGGCATTTTTCCTAACACCCAATTTACACTGTCCCTTTAGCCATTGGTCTAGAGCTGAAAGGCAGCCAATATGCCAAAAACATCTTCAAAATCAAGACATGTAGACTTTAGAGAGATGAAATACATAAATAGTTAAGATCAAAAATGGCCCTGTGCAGAGAATAGGAAGAGTGATGATCTTTGATGAAGTATAACTTCCCAACAAGTAAAAGGTAGATCTGAAAGAAAATCTAGCATAACTAATTTCTGTCCTTTGGCCAGGTACTTGCATTGCACAACTTTGTGTGAATGAACCCACCATGACTGATAGGAAGGCCCACGAAGTCCCACAGAATCATGGATCTTTCACCAAGAAAATGTCACAATCCAGGCAATATCTTCAGTCACCTCTCCTCCATGGAGACATACAATTTCCTTCTGGAGTTACATTAAGGTCATCCTAGAGATTCAGCAGTCACTGTCTGCTATAAGGTCAGTCCATGGTTAGTTATGGAATGGGCTTTCCAGATCCACTTGCTGCTGCTGCAGAATATGATGACTTCTTAGCTATCCTTCTATCTTTCTAGCAGGGCCCCAGCATTGAGTTTACAAATGTATCAATAGGCACCAAGTAAGTCAGGTTATGTCAAAAGTATGAATTTTTAAAAGTCTTTGCATCTTGAATTCCTTGGCTGCAGACATTGCTCAGGTGAATCTACAGCCCTTCTTTAAGAGGTCATCATTCGGGAAGTCACGATGGCAAGATTTTCAATTAACCATGGGGAGGTAGCAGCCTGTGAAATCTAGAACCCATTGAATATCCTATGGTCACCTTTGTCAGGAGGATTCAAATTCCCTGAAAGCAAAGGATGTACCCTAGGATCTTAACTTCAATAAATTCAACCCAGAACTCCCTGAACTTGAAGCTTTATAGATTAGTACATTACCCGAATATAAGACTGTCTGCGGGGCTAGGGGTAAAATACAAGATGTCACTCATTAACCAGTGATCCTAACCTGGAGAAGAGTGACTGGGAAGAGCTATCAGATTTTTCTTAAGAGTGCTAGGGAAACAGGGGTTGCTAATGCTTAGGTCAAAGACCTGACAAGATACTTAATCTGACTGAGTCCCATTGGAATTTCCTAAAGCTGCACTCAAGATCACAGGCACCTTTGAGATGGTCCACAGTTCAATGATGAACAGGTTGCTTCATTCAGGCCACGGTGGTCCCAGCACTTTTTACCATTAAAAATACAAGCCTCACCAGGCACGGTGGCTTACGCCTATAATCCCAGCACTTTGGGAGGCCAAGCTGAGAGGATTGCCTGGGTCCACGGGTTTGAGATCAGCCTGGGCAACTTGGTGAGACTTCATCTCTACAATAAATCAAAAAATGAGCCGGGCACATGCCTGTAGTTCCAGCTACTTGGAAGGCTGAGGTGGAAGGATCCCTGGGCCTAACAGGTCAAGGCCACAGTGGCCGTGAGTGTGCCACTGCCCTCCAGCCTGGGCAACAGAGTAAGACTCCAACTCAAAAAAAAAAAAAAAAAAAAGCAAGCCTCAGGCCAGACATAATGGTTTATGCTTGTAATCCCAGCACTTGGGAGGTGGAGGCAAGAGGACTGCCTGAGCCCAGGGGTTCGAGACCATCCTGGGTAATTTGGAAAGACCTCGTCTCTACAAAAAGTTAAAAAATTAGCCGGGTGCGGTGGCGCATGCCTATACTTCCAGCTACTTGGAAGCCTGAGATGGAAGGACCATCTGAGCCCAGCAGGTACAGGCTGCAGAAGCTGTGAGCATGCCACTGCCCTCCAGCCTGGGCAACAGAGTGAGACTGATTCAGGAAAAAAAAAAAAAAAAAAAGCAAGCTTCTAATGCTTTCATGTGTGACCAGCAGGCTTTTTTCCTGGGCCTTCAGGTGAATACTTGAATGGAGTTAGCCAAAGAAGGCAATGATGACAAATCATAGAACAAAGGAGAGAGAAGATAAACTGAAGTCATCTCAGTGGGAGGCCAAGATCTTCAGAGGATAAACTGTCAGTTTGGGCAGTTATTATGATGGGGTCCACCAGAAAAAATAGGGAAGGAGAGATAACTACTATGAAAGAAGAGACAGAGGCCATGATTATTAGGGGAAATAGTTCATCGACAGACAGACAAAATCTAGCAATCTAAAACAGAACTCTTCCTATGGGATGTCACAGCTGCAAAACTGGGATTTTACCTGGTATTGTACCCGATCTAAATACCCAACTTAACCCTCTCCCCCAAATTATAAAATTACCTGTTGCTTAGTAAGGATCCTAAGACCATTAAACTATCCTCCATCAAAGTGATAATTTCTCCTGATTCAGTTCCTTTGAGCAGGAGCTCTCCCTTTCCCTTAAATGCCGCAAAACTCAGATTTTGGTTGGTCCAATTCTCAATCACCTGAGTCAGCTTGGCTTCAATATCCTTCTCTTTAATGGCAGATATGCAAATATCCTTTGGAGGAAAATAAAAGAATGTGTCATGAGGTTCCCAACCACGAATTAAGTACATCATAAACTCACAGAATTCTTTTAGCCTGGAAGGTACCTCGATGTGATCTAGTTCATTTAGTCATTTTACATCCAAGAAAACAAAGGCTCAAGATCATTGTGTTGCAGTTTGACACTAGAGCCTTACAACTATCTGACTAATAATTATTTTCCTGTATCACATACTTGATGCAATGGAGCTTAAACCAACATTTTCTTGACCATATTTTTAATTGGGGTTTTTGGCTAAAATGCTGATAATCACAGCTGCTTTGTCTATTCTGGAGGCTAGCTATGAAAATCAGATGAGAATATCTGTAAGGGTCTTTTGAGTTCTTCCAAGTAACACATAGATATTACTATATTCCCACCTAATCAGGCCCTAACATATCTCATTTGCTTAAAAGTCCATTTTTTTCTTATGGGTTTTCCTATTTTTCTGAGAATATTGATAAGAAAGTCTCACAAAAGAAGATACAAGTAACATATTTTCCCCACAATGCTTCCACTTATTTTCAGACTTAGAATCACAGAATCACGGAGATGGAATGTAAGGTGTGTGATATTTCCACAAGTAATTATGACACAAATGAATGTGTAATAAATGTCATAAGAATGATGTGAACCATGGTGAGTTCTGAGGAGGGAGAAGTGACTTCTGCCTGTGCCGAGGAGGAAGGCGTCATGGAAGGGTAAGTGGGATTCAAACAGAGGGTGGCTAGGGAGGGAGCGGACTTTCTGTGTGGAGGAGACAGGCTTCCTTTAGAGGCAGTGAGTGCAGTAACAGTAGGAATCCAGTTTGGTTAGTGGTAGGGTACGTGTAGCCAAGTAACAGCATGTATCTGAGGTGGACGGTACTGAGAATCTGCGGGTCAATAATGGATCCCTAGAATTACCTGAAACTGTAAAATCAAGTTTTCAAAGCATAGCCCATGAGTTCTATGAACACAGACAATATACTCTTAAGCAAAGAAACCTATTTATAAGAATGAAATGATCACCAAAGTGTTTCTCTTAGATTGTGTCCTTTAATAGTAACTTAGTTTTATTTACAAACAGGACAAAAATGCTTTGAAAGCAAAACTTTTTGTGTGCATATGCTGCTAAAAAGAGGCAAGAGGAGGCAGAAAATCCAAATCATATATATGGGAGATTTCTGGTCACATGGTGCATTTTCTCATCTCCAAAAACATAAAATAATAGATAAAACACACACAAAAAAAAGAAAGAGAGAGAGAGCAAAAAACAAGAAAAGAAAAATAAAGGAAAAGAAAAAACAGAGCCAGGCTTAAAAACCAGATAAACATCTTCATGAACCAAAAAGTGGAAAAATATGCAAATCAGCTAGTGGAGCCAAAGCTTGGGCCTGAGGGCCCTGCGCAGTGGGGCCAGGCTTTGGTTCCCATGTGATAAAAAAGACGGAAAGTGGTCTATATGAGAGGTAGCACCTGGGTTAGGGTCTATAGCCCTCCATTCAGAAAGGAGCTGAAAGTACTGCCTCCAGCTGCCATCTGGGAATCTAGTTAAGTGAAGCTGTCAGTTTGGGGACTGGAGTGACATAGAACCCGCCCCACAACCAGGATCTGAAACAGGTCAGCTCATGCCTGAATGGTCACACCATAGCAAAATAGGGGATGTCGACTGCTTTTTATGACATCTGGCTGTGAGGGAAGATGAGTGGTGGGAGAGGCAATCACAGGACTACTAGACAAGGAAAGATAAGACACAGGAAGAGAGAAACAACTTTAACAGATTATACATGACAAAATTTTCAAGTATATTATTCCAAATAAATAAAATGTTTAATAAACATCTTAAATAAAAATTATAAAATCCATGAAAAACTCTAAACTAGAGGATTAGCAAACATAAAAACTCAGTCCAGGTGAAATTAATTTTAAACAACAATCTGAAAAACAGAACTTAAATTGGAGTTGTCGGAGTACAGAAAGTACAGACAAAAAAATGGTGGCCATGGGCCAGGCACATTGGCTCACAACTGTAATCCCAGCACTTTGGGAGACTGAGGTGGGAGGACTGCTTGAGGTTGCAGTGAGCTATGATGATGCCACAGCACTCTAGACTGGATACAGAGTGAAAACTCATTTCCAAAGAAAAATAATTAATTTAATTTAAAAATATTGTCCATGAGTTAATAAATGTTATTGCAAGGGAAACCTCTACTTTAGTATACGTCTAAACTTTTTTGTCATAAATTTTAAATAATTATGTTTAAAATTCTGAGATAAGTGAAGACATTTATAAATCTATGCATCTGAAACTTAAAGATCTGAAAATATATAAAAGAATCTGAAAAATGCTAGAAAAAAAGTAGGAATAAAAAAAGAATAGGTAGCCACAAAACAGCAATTAAAAATCCTGGAAAGAAAAAAATGTAATAATGGAACATTTTAGCAACTTAACAGACCTAATAGGAAAAAGTAAAGAATTCAAAACTTGGAGAATAAAACTTCACCAAGAACACAATAAAAAATAAGCAGATTTTTTTTTAAACTGGAAGTGCAGTTAAGGAACACAGAAGAGAGACTGAGGAACTCCAAAGCAAATGTATTTCAAATAACCATATTATCTCCGAATAACAGGATTATATTGTACAATCCAAGCACGTTCAGGATCTTTCCAAATGTTGAGGGTGCGTTATAGAGGGCAATCAATATACCCTCTAATAAAATGTCTCTGCAATTCTCAGAAAAGAAAAATATTATGCTCTTTAATGGATCATTGATTAATATGACATTACACTTTTATGTACCTCAATATCATCCTTATTTTTAAGGAGTGGTGCTTCCATGATATTTCTAAGACAAAAAGTATCAGATTCCACATCAAATGGGGTTCCAGTTAACTCGGAGATTCGATCCCAGTGTCTCTGTTTCATCGCCTTATTGGTCATCATTTCCAGGAGAGGACATGACTCACTGAAATCATCAATTCTTTTTTTGAGATCCAAAAAAGCTTGCCAATCTTTAAGTCCTTTTGGAAGTTTACGACATCTTTCAGAAAGAATGAAAAATTATGTCACCTTCACACTTTTTTTGAAGAAAGTTTTATGTACATACATATATCAAGGAATAAATTAGCTTGTGAAATACTTATAAAATCCTAAAGTAGGGATTATTTTTAAAAGTGAGCTAATTCCATTGAAACTTACCTGTTTTGAAATTCTTGCAGTTCTGCATTAATTTTTTCAATATCTACATCTCCCCAAAGTATTTCATAATAACCACTAATACTGCCCATCACAGTATCATACAGTCCATACAGCTTCTGCAACAAGTTGAGTTCCTTTCTGAAAAACAAAATGATTAAGTCAACATATAACATGTATTTTTAAAATAAATTCCATTATTAAATAGACAGTTCATCCAATCAAATATTTCATATACTATGTGTATAAGATACCAAATTCATACAACTATATCAGTTTCTAATACAAAGACTTTGTTAAAGATCTGTAAATAAGGTCAAGTTTATGGGTCCCAAATATTCTAAATCATACTGTAACTTGACATTAACAAATGGTTTAATTATTTTATAAAGGAAAAATCTGTTTTTCTTTTTTTTTATGAGAAACTTGTGACCAAAACTTGATACCAAGATCAAAGCTAAGGTTTTACTGGATTTTTTTTCTTTCAAATACAAGATGAATTTATTTATTTATTTATATGTTTTTGGAGTCAGAGTCTCACTCTGTTGCCCAGGCTAGAGTGCAATGGCACGCTCACAGCCACCCCAGCGTAGACCTGCTGGGCTCCAGCAATTCTTCCGCCTTAGCCTTCACAATCATAGCTCACTGCAACCTTGAACTCTAGACTCAAGCAATCCTTCCACCTCAGTCTCCCAAGTAGCGCTGAGATTATAGGTGTGAGCCACTGCACTCAGTTGAAGCTGGATTTTAATGAGAACATTTCCCTTAACTAAGCCCTGATCTGCTTTAAGTCTGAGCTTAAACATCCCTTTCTACATTATAACAAGAATGAAAGGTCCAAAGGCAAAGTTCTTAATTTTGTAAAACACTAAATTGACTATTCAACAGAATTTGTGGATTCTGTCAGAAATCTCTCAATCCTCAGCATACCAGAGGTTCTACCTGACCCAATTTTAGTTGTCCAGTTTATTTTTCAAGTATTTCTAACTATTCCTAAAGACTGACATTAATAATATCCCTTATTAGAGATACTCCAAAGAACAAAAACAAAATATATTTAAGATTTTAATGGAGTAAAACTCACTCTAGCTTGCAATTACCATATAGGTGCATTAGACCTTCTTATAAATTTAAGGCACATTTTCCAATCTTAGTTATCTTATTTTTCCAATTCTTAATTTGTTTTTATTCTTCATCATTCTAAAAAGTATTTCATCACTACTCACTGTTTATTTCCAACTATGCTAAAAATCACTAAAATAACAAGAGAGGAATGATGCACTCTCCTAAAGGATGATGTAATAGTGAACAAAATCACTATTATGTCATCTTTCAGGTTTCTTATTGTGTTGCCCCAAGTACTGCATCACCTTTCAAGAAAGTATATAAAAATAATTCCAGAGACACTATTTTGGTAGTCTTTTGATGTTTGCTTGTTTAGCTTTCACTTCATACAGTTAATAATTCAGAATTTTTCATTTTTACCTAAAATAGTAAAGAGAAGAAAACTGACAAAGATATGTGCTTCCCAGGTATTAAACAGAAAAGAGACAAAAAGCAGCACTCTAGTTTCTAATTTTGATGGTGAAATAAATTGTATAAGTGAAATATCACATTAAGAGACTTCAGGTGACAATAACCTACATGAATTGTATGAAACTTAGTAATTTATGAATGAAAAATAGATTTCCATGGACTTCAATAGAGGCAAGGGTCTCATCATACAATATTTAGCAACAAGAACCTAGACCATCTCATTTTGTTAAAAAAGATTAGTGACATGGGCCTCCATTATATTTGTGTACGTTGTTTTTATTTTTTATTTTTTTTATAGAAACGGGGTCTCACTGTGTTGCTCAGACTGGTCTCTCAAACTCCTGGCCTCAAGAAATCTTCCCACCTTGGCTTCTCAAATGTAAGTTTTATTTGACACATTTCATAATTGGACAAATGTTGAAGCCAGATGTGTTTCTATGGACATGTGATTTGAAATTTTAAAAATTCATTGAATTTACCATTCTTTTTAAAAGTAAAGATTTTTGTATGTATAGCGCAAAGAAGATGATAATCCACCTTTCTTTTTTTTTTTTTTTTTGAGTTGAAGTCTCACTCTGTCGCCCGGCCACCGCAGGCTCGATCTGCTGGGCTCTGGTAATCCTTCTGCCTCAGCCTCCCAAGTAGCCAGAACTATAGGTGCGCACTACCATGCCTGGCTAATTTTTGATTCATTGTTGAGACAAGGTCTCACAAAGTTGCCCGAGTGTGTCTCGAACCCACAGGCTCAGGCAATCCACTCGCCTCGGCCTCCCAAAGTGCTGGGATTACAGGCTAAGCCACCGAGCCCAGCCAACAATCCACCTTTCAACAAAATCATGAGTGTCTAAGTTTTCAACAGTCTTGAGTTTTCACGAGGCAAGGGCAAGATACATCAGAAGTAATAGTAAGCTAAGATCCACTGGAGACACATTTGAAATCTAGAATCAGTGTTTATACCATGGGCATGTTCCAGGTTCATGCTGATGAGGAGTTAGTCGCATTCAAATGCTAGTCTTCATTTTGTGTATTTCATCTTTAAACCAGGACATCATGGAGTAAACATTTGAATTTACACTCTTTAAATTCTTATTAAGTCTTCTAATAAAAGTGCTTTTCATCATTTTTTATTTCTTGGTAAATAATTCGTAAAATTACTTTAAACATCAAAATTAAAATGGTCCATTGGTCCAGATGTTAAGTGGGGATGACTCTTTTTCCTGCTGCTTTGAGGGTTAACATGTTGACTCTCAGACTGAGCATGCATATCAATCACCTAGAGAGTAGGTAAAAATGTAGATTTCCTAGGACCCAATCCCAGAGATTCTAATTCAGTAAATCAGTGATGAGGACCAGAAGTATACAATTCTAAAACAACTGGCCAGTGGGTTAAGTTTGGAGAATGATTGTTTTAGAAAGAAATTACAAACCATCTACCTTAAGTGGCTGAAGCATTAATTTATCTTCAGAAAATTCCGTGTCTTCCTTGCCATGAAATTTTTATGCTGTGACTTTGAAGGAAGTCAACATAAAGTGCTTTTCTAAAGCCAAGACTCTAATGAGCTCTGTATTAATGTTGCTTTTGAGGAAAGTTATACATAAAATTCATACTATATTTATATATTTATAATTTATATTATATTTAAAATTTTAAATATTCTAAAATTCTATTGAAATATATTGGTTTAGATCTATGATTTAAAATCAATTAAGTTCTTTGTACTTAAATCTCAATAAAGTCTACGGCTAGCCAATGAGGAAGAGCATTTTAGCATAAATGTAGTAAGAAGAGAAGGGGAGACAAGGAGGGTTATTCCTCTAAATAAACAAAATTTATTCAAAATTGCAGTGCTTCTGCATAATCATTGACACTATTCAAAAACAACCCACCTGGGCAACTTGGCGAGACCTCATCTCTACAATAAATCAAAAAATTAGCCGG